TGGCGTAGGATAGAGCAGGGTTTAGGGCTGTTGTGCATAGGGTCGCTATGAGTCGGAAACGACTCGACGGCACATAACAACAACAACAATGCATCTGAGAGCTGGACAATGAATAAGGATAACAGAAGAGTTGCTGATGCATTTGAATTGCTTTGGTGAAGAGTACTGAATATAACACAAACTGTCAAAACAACAAACTAATCTGTCTTAGAGGAATTGCGACCAGGGTACTTCTTATAGGCAGAGACAGTCAAACTTTGTCTTGTATACATTGGGCATGGTGTCAAGAGAGAGCAATCCTTGGAAAAAGGCATCATGCTGTGAAAGGTGAAAGGTGGGAAAGGTTTTGAAAGCGAGGAAGTCTCTCAACAAGGCAGATAAGACATAGTGACTTTAACAACGGGCTTGAGCATTTCTGGAATCAGAAGGATGACACAGTATAGGGCAAGGTTCAGATCTGTTGCTACAGGATTGCTATAAGTCTTAGTTGATGAGATGGCACCACCACCAACATTGTTGTTGTTATGTAATCCTGAATCTGATCTGATCCACAGATGACCTTCCAGTAGTTTTCAGAGGCAGTGAATCTCATGGGTGGAAACTGCTAATCTTTCTCAGTTGGTGGATTCGGAATATACGCCTTTGGGCTGGCAGCAAAGCTCCTTCCACTGGGCCATATTCAAATGATACGTTGAGAGTCTCATCATACAGATTCCCAGAGATGATATTTTAATAACACTACTTAATAATTGTCTGCACTGAAAACTAGGAGGCGGTATAAGGGCAGACAGGGGAGGACGTTAGAGCTCTACAGTCAACGAGGTAATACCTGTACAATATTTTAGAAATGTTAACTATTCACATTGGCAAATTACATTTTTAAGACAGAAACTAATATTAGGAAATATTTAATTCAGAAAAAATACAGCAAAGTAACAGCATTTACAAACATTCACAATATAGTCCAAAATGTTTATTGGAACTATAGAGCTTCATAGAGTGCTCCTAAAATAAGACTTTAAAATACTCTACATTTACTGTTTCACTAATATTGAACGTGTCCTAAAATTATAAAAAGTTTTACAATGCTAACATTCTTTCTTACCATTCCGGACCTAAAAATGAAGAGACTGGGATAACTCTTGACTCCTTTCATTTGGCAAAGCATTCTATCATCACCACAGTTAACAGCGCCAATTCGAAGTAATCCATCCACTTCTTTAGCAAAGTCTCTCCACTACGAGAAAAAAAAAAACCCAACATAAAATCCTGATAAGATTATTTCCTTTTCTTTGATCTTTTCATCCCCAACATTAATGAGAAATTTTAATCACATAAATACTATATAAATTAGTGATGATTTTTATTATAATTATGTCAATAATGAAAAAGTGAGTATACTTTTAAAAACACCAATATACGGTTTTTGTCAACATTTTTTTCCTTCGAAAGAAGAAAACATTCAACTGTCAAACAAATAAACCTATACTTGAACACTGAGATAATAAACATGGCTATAAAGGTGTAAAGAATCAGCATTTACCAGATTATAGATGAACTAAAAATGACAAGACTTCAGTAATAGTCAAGATGTAAGAAAATACATACTGTGGGAGCTAAGTCATGGCAGTGTGAACATCCTGGGGAGTAGAAATTTACAAACCACAGTTCTCCAGAATTAACAGCTGCATCTAAAAGGCCAGAAAAACAGTTTAGATTTACTAAAGGTTCATGCAGATTTTAGCTTAAAAATTTTTTTAAAACAAAAGTGCAGCCAAGTCATAAATCTTTCATACTGCCTTTATTATCTTTTGAGAAGCCGTGCTGGCATAGTGAGTTAAGTAATGCGCTGCTAACAGGAAGACTGGCAGTTCGAAACCTCTAGCTGCTCCGTGGGAAAAGTTGAGCCCATCTGCTCCTGTAAAGATTTTTAGTGTTGGAAACCCTAAGCAGCGGCCCTACTCTCCTGCAGGGTTGCCGAATTAAAACCAACTTGATATGATTGGTTTTGGTTTGGATTATCATTTTTTATATAGAATTTCTCATACAGAAAGAAGAAAATATCATAACTGCCACTAAGATAGTCATAAAGCTCAAAAAAGTAGTATAGATTGAGTACACGGCCAGTCAAGTAATTTTGCAACTGTTTTTTAAAATACGAGAATCAAATGAGACTTACATGATAAGTTTAAAGAGAGCAGTGCTGGTACCAAGGCTGTTGATTGTGCCAATTTCTTTTTCCCCCCTCCATCTATCATGACTTTGCCTACTGGCCCAGTGATGAGGATTTTTTTAAAAGGTTACAGGACCAAAATGAGAGTTTAAGGCCTATTTAACATTACTGTGATATGCTGTAAAGCTGACTTTGACTCAAAGCTATGAATTAAAGAGTATCAGACATAATTTCACCATCCCTGCCTATAAGGAGCACTGTGGCTGCAATTCCTGTAAGACAGATTTGTTCGTCGACAATCCATGGACTATTCTTGTTTTTTGTTGTTATGTAATACTGAGAAAGAAATGACCCTCCAGTGGTTTTTCAGAGGTAGTAAAATCACATGGGAAGAGACTGTCCATCTTTCTTCCTCGAAGCTGGTGGATTTATATCATAAGCCTTTGGGTTGTTAGTACCTCTTACCACTAAACTACTGGAAGCTACCTATATGCTAAGGTTGTTAGGTTTTGTTGTTAGGTGTCGTCAAGTACAACTCTGCTACCCTATGAACAACAGTTTTGAACCATGCCCTATCTCTGACATATTTGATCCCACTGTTGCAATGTGTCAACTCATCTGATTGAAGGTTTTCCTCTCTTTTGCCGACATACCACCTTTCCAGGCATTATGTTTCTCTCCAAGGAACAGCCTCTCCAAACAACATGTTCAAAATGTGAGGCAAAGCTTTGCCATCATTGCCTCCAAGGAGTACTCTGGCTGCACTTTCTCTAAGACATATCTGTTCTTTTGGCAGTCTATATGCTATTCAGTATTCTTCTCCAAAACAGTTCAAAAGCATCAATTCATTCTGTCATCCTTATTCAATGTCCAGTTCTCATCTGCACAGGAAGTGACTGAAAAAAAAACCATGTCTGAACAAGGAGCACCTTACTCTTCAAACAGACATCATTCCTCCCCAGTTACTTGGAGAGGTTCATGACTATAGACTTTCCCAATGCAATATACTTCCTGATCTCCTGACTGCTGGTATCAAGATATTCTAAAGTAAGCAGTGTAAATTAAACTGAAATACTAAAGGATCAAGCCTCTCAAGGTACAACCTAAACTTCTGAATACTTTCAATCACTGAAAATATAAAGTTATCTGAGATTGCTGAGTGACCCAGCTGGCTGAAAAATATATATACTTTAACTTAGTTCTAGAACTATCTCTAAGTTACAAAACAAACAAACAAAAAAGACCAGCAGGTGGCTTAGTGGTAATAAACTGACTTGACAATCAAAAGGCATTTAGTTTAAACCACCAGCTGCTGCACAAAAAAAGATGGGCAATCTCCTCTAATATGATTTATTGCCCCTAAAAACCCAATGGAGGGTCAACAATGGATGGATTCCAAATCAATGGTATAGCAACAACATCATAATCCAAAAGTTAACAGAAACCAATGGCAACAAAGTTGCTCACAACAGAGAGGTTATGTGATGTTTACTAAAGTACAAACTGGTACCACTGCCCATGCTTGCCCTCTTCCCTTGGTTTCCTCATTAAAGCTTTGAGATTCAAGAGTAACTTTTTAATCATAGCTATGTAGGATCTCAAAGTAGAATACTCCAATCAACTATTCATAATTTTCGATGAATTTTCTAAAAGTCAATGGAAAATATGGTAGAATTCTACAGTTGAATCTTGAACATGGGGAAAGCACTCATCTCTTCAAAGTTGAAAATTTGTATAATTTAGAGTTGATCCTTATACAACCTAGGATTGCACTGACCATGTATTAGAGAGACAAATGACTCAAGCAGTGGTAATTAGTGTCACAGAGTCTTTTAAACATATAGACACATTTCAACTCACCACCAACTGCCAACAGGAAGAAAAAAAAAATGATGCATACATGGACCCAGGGTTCAAACCAGTGCTGTTTAAGGGCCAATGGTATTCTGCAGAAATGCAGCATCATACCAATTAAATGTTAAACTGAATCTTCTTCTAAAATAATCATATACTTATCTAAAACTCAGAAATTAAAAAGTATTTTATAGTTAAGTTTGTAGCATGCTCACTTAGCATCTAAAACTGGCCTGAAAGAATATTATGCTATGTATTATTTTTACCTTTCTTATTATTCTTACTTAGTTCATATACATTTCAGTATAGAAATACTAATGTTTTGACCGTGGTACACTGTCAGAGACAGTGAGATAGGCTTGTATATGTTGTTGTTGTTAAGTGCAGTTGAGTTGTAGATGACTCACAGCGACCCTATGTAGAAAGACTTGGACACTTGTATAACTTCCATTGTTTCTCCAAGTTCACAGGGTTTCCAGAGGTAAGCTATTTCAGAAGTGGATGCCACTCCTGCTTCCGAGCTTCTATTCGAGGAGCTCCACCAAACACTGTCCACCATGGGTAACCATTATTGCATTTGATGCATCAGTGTTACAGTATCACAACAACTATGAGTTACCTCAGTACAGCAATGCACAGACCAGTGCTATACCACTTAGAAAAATGTTTGACCCAAAACAATTAAAACCAGGCCTGAGTGCCACAGACTAAAATCACCCTCTTTTGTCTTGGTAGCATCGCTTTTATGATGATGATGATGATGATGATGTTGTTGTTGTTAAGCACCATCGTTGTATAAGTTGCTATAAGTCATAGGTGACTAGGCAGAACATAACAACAACAGAAACGCTGCCTTAGATTCTGTTAGCAGTATCATTTAAATATACAATATAAACCATATTCAAAATTAGTTGCTGTCAACTTTATTCTGACTCATGGTGACTCCATTTCTTTTAGTAGTCACATACACAAATTGTTTCCATTACCCAGGAATTCCATATACTATTTTTCTAAAATCTAAAAAAATATACCTGAATATCAAACACAGAAGAGACTAAACTTGTACTACTAAGCTTAGAAAAACATTTGCCCCCAACTTACCAAATTCTCTTCTATCCAATGTTATTATTTCAGGATCATCATCATAAATACCTAATTTTAAAAGCATATAAAGATTATAAAATGAAAACTTCACAACTGGTTAAAGATTCACAGAGAAACAAATTACTCACTCTTGATTCCTAACTATCCAAAAAACAGATTACGCTACTAAACCTCATCTTGAAGAACATATAGCAAATTACCAAGAAAATAACTAATGTATCTAATACCATTGGTAATATATTTGAAACACAATCTAAACATGTATTAGCTTCCTGACAGTCAATAATACTGAGTATCATACGTGAAGGGGGTTGGACATTGTCTTACTCTTCACTCAATTCCCCTCCAGGGAAAATGTCTAATACACATATTTAAAGGAATTATAGATATACAGGAAGTTGCAAAACTAGTAAAAACTTCTTAGTTCCTTCCACTTGGCTTCCTCTGCTGATCACATGTATTTAGCTAAATGTAGCTGTGGTTCAATAGCAAAAGTGGAAACTGACCTTGGTTCCTTGGTATTAAATGAATTACAGACTTTATTAAAATCTCAGATTACAAGGTCTTTCTGATGTATAATCACCTAAAAATATTTTTCAGAATATTTAGTAGTGAGAGAACCAAGCTGATTTCATAAATACAATTTTATTTATCATAATTATAACCATGTGAGATAACTTATTATTTATATCCAAGTAGTATACAGGGAGCTTTCGTGGCTTAGTGGTAAAAGGCTCCCCTGTAATCCCAAAAACACATGGTTCGAATCCATCTGCTGCTTGGAGGAAGAAGGATGGGTTATCTCTTCCTATGCGATTTACTGCCTCTGAAAACTCACTGGAGAGTCAGCGCTGAGTCAGTTTTGATCTGATGGCACCCAACAATGACAATTTTAATGACAGCTAGACATTACAAGTCAAGAATATTTCTGTTGAGACCAGACAGGGAGCATTTAAAGTTCTGCAGAATATATGGTCTCCATGGCAATTTCTCAATGCTATCTTTGTAAGTCAAGAATGTTGTTAGGCACCATCAAGTTGTAAGTACAATCCACACTGACCCTACGAGCAACAGATCTGAACCCTATCCTACCCTGTGCCATCCTTCCACTTCCTGACGCGCTAAAGCCCATTGTGGTGGTCACTGTGTTAATTCACCTGGTTGAGGGTCTTCTCCTTCACTGACCCTCTGCCTTTCCAAGCATGATGTCCCTCTCCAAGTCAAGAATAGCTATAGAAAATACTTAATAAACATAACCATATTTCAGTAAGTTTATTTACCAAAGAAGGCTGAATATGTCATTTAGGATGCAGTTTATGAGCTATTTTGATAAGACAGTTTTGAGAAACAACATAGAAATTGACAAAATTTTATTTAAAACTCAAAAATAGTCAAGCTTAATATTGTCAAGTTGGTTCTGAGAGGCTATAAGTCACAACAGAAGGATACTGCCCATCTTTCTCCCTTAGAGTACGTGGTGGTTTTGAACAACCAGAAACAACCTTTTTTTTTGGTTAACAGTGAAATACCCTAAATACCCTAAAGAACATGCTGCCAGACCTCCTTTATTTAGTCAACTATAAAACTGTACTTCTAATAGCTTATATTTGATCCTAATTAATGATTAGAAGCGGCACTGAGTATTGGTGTGTCCCCTTCCTGACTTAATATCCATGCTTATTTTCACTCTGCCTTGGTTTATTTCTTTCCTGGTTTTGCCTTATTGCTTTCACCATTTTACTGTTGGTAACGAAGAGTCCATATGAGAAAAATATTGCTTTTTTAAAAAAATTTATTTAATACTTTATTTTAAGAATAATACACAATTCAGGACAGTTAATTATGTGGCAATCAGCCAATGTAAGATATTGGAAATGCACTTAATTCTATGCTGAGTGGGGATTTTTAAAAAAAAATTAATTTTAATAAACATTTACAGAGATTTTGGATTTCCATTCATTCATTGCCGCACTTTTCTCCCTGCCCACCCCTCCCCATCAGTTCGCTCCCCTTTCCGAAAAGAAAAAGAAAAAAAAATCCTTCATTGGTATACAATTCCCCCATCCCTTTCCCCCCACCCCCCACCCTGAGTACACTTCTCTATGCAACCTTAATTCTGGATTCCTGTGCTAACCATTTCTATTGGAAATCACTAGTAACTGAGCTTAGAAAATATGATTATCTAAAAAATATACTGAAAGGCTCTAATATTTAACATCTAATGCAAACATTTTTCTTAGTTGAACAGTAATCCTTATATTAGATTCATTTAATAAGAGCATAACTAATACGCCTACAGATCTATAGAGGTAATATCTGTATACCAACTTACTCTTTACCCCAGGTACATAAGAGAAAGACAAAGGTGTTTTTATTAACTGTACAGTCTAAACAGTAAAACAAAATTAACTTTTCTAAGCTCACTTAAAGAGAAACAAATTTCATTACTAATAATCACAGCAACTTACCAAAATCATAATGATAATAGTGCCAGCTCTCATACCGGCCTCCTTCCTGATTGTCTGCAAGCCCCTTTTCTCCATATTTGTCATACTTTTTCCGCAGATCTTCATCTTTGAGTACTTCATATGCTCTATTTATTTTCAAAAAATCACCATGTGCATTTGGGTTATTCTAATGTAAATAAAAACAACAAAGAACCCAATAAACCATTAAGTATAACACAGTTGTTTCATACACACAATGCGTATCTCTTCAAAACCTAAACGTAATTTAATGTAATCTTGAGATATTTGGAGAAAATAGATATCAGATCTCTATGTGTGACTATTGATTTGTGATCAACTATTAACGTTGGTGGTTCAAATCTACTCACTGGAGCTAAGGAAAGCCTGAAGATTTGCATCCATAAAGATCACACCAAGAAATTCCTACAGAGCCATTTTAGTTTGTTAACATAAGTTACTATAAATTAGACTTGCCTTGATGGTAAATGGTTGATACCAGATAGAAGGGCTGGGAGAATACACATAATAATGGAATTATCATGGGTTGAAATGAACTATTTTTGAAGAAGCTACAATTTTCAATAACGAATAACAACAGGAAAGGATTGATTCTCTACAAGGTTTACAGATGTAACTGTACAATTTAAGCCATTCCTTCTAAGAAATGTATCTGAAAAAAAATTAATAATATTCAATTAGTTTTTAAGTACTTCTGAGATTTTTTTTTTAAAAAAAAACAACTATAGATGATGATACTTTTTGAGGCAGACAACACATTAACTATGCAATGTGCCTCAAACCAGCAGAAAATTAAGTAAGAACTATATCAAAGGAAAGAGCCCTAAAGATGTAGTGCTGGGCTACTAACCAAAAGGTCAATGGTCAAATCTAGCTGAAGTTCTTTACAACAATATGGATGGTCTCCCTGTAAAAACTTACAACTTGGAAACTCTATGGAGAGTCAACCTGAGTTAGAGTTGACTACAGAGCAGTGGTTTTGGTATTGCATCACAGTAACAATTCAATCTGGGATGATATATTAATTTGTTACTGTGTTTCACAGAACTGATCTCATTTAAAAAACAGCTGGATAAGGAAAGGGGTTCTAGTGGTGGAATGGCTGTGATAAGGTGGTAATAGAAAGGTCGGTGGTTATCACCCCCAGTTGCTCCACCAAAAAAAAAAAAAAAAAAAAAAGGACCTGCCAATTCATTCCCATAGAGATTCACTCACAGCCACGGAGTCAAACTGACTCAGAGCTAACCCTCTGCTAAGCATGCAAATAACACAGGAGGACAGCTCATCTTCCTTCCATGAAGGCACTGGTGAATTGGAATGATCATGTGGCTTTTGGGTAACAAGCACAATTCCCTATGAACTATGCCACTACTGCTGTGTGCATCAAGTTGGAACCAACCATAACTGACTCTCTAGCAGGCTTTCAGAGGCGAGTAACTGCCTGGGAGGAGACTGTCCATTTTTCTCCAGAGAAGCAGCTGGTGGATTTGTCTCCTTAACTACTAGGCTACCAGAGTTCCCCTACTAGAGCAGAAACTTCTTATAAAGATTATAGTTTAGGAAATCCTATGGGGAAGACTGATTCTGTCCAGGAGAGCCACTACGAGTCAGAATCCGTTCAAAGGCAATGGACTTGAGTTTAGAAAAGGAACCTCTTAGGTCTTTCATATGATAAACTTGAAAAAACCCAAAAATGATATTATGAAATTTTCAGAAAAAAGATCACCAACATGCAATAACTTTAAAAAAAAAAATCACTGTTTTCTGCTGCTCAGATTTATGGAAACAAAGAATATTATTTTAAAAATTATAACTAGAAAACATAAAACTTTAACACAATCATATCTTTTACTGTGTTAATGACTAGTATAAAAATTCACTGAGGAAAAAGATCAAATAAATTATAAAAATAGCATAAAAATAAGATGCTTTTGGAAGATTATAGTAGTGAATATATATTTATTATATTTTGGTTATATCCATATTTTTGCTTGTGTTTATAATACTTTGTAAGGCTGGCCGGTGGACTTGTGCATGGGAGAAAACAGTAAAATTTAAGTTCTTATAGCCATTTTTAACAAGACATAACTTCTAATTTCTGATATTAATTTTAAGAAACATTATTACTATTCAAACATACATGATCTCAAAGTAAAAAGCTGTATCAACAACTTCACTGGCTTATGTTTTTGCATGAATATCTTCAACAGAACTTGAGCAAGAATTTACAAATTAAGAGAAAACTGTATTTTTAGTACTGATATTCCTGCCCTCTGTTGCAAATGAGAATGTTTTGCTTCTTCTGTTTTCAGCATGGCAGCTGAATTATGGTTTTTTATTTGCCATGGTTCTTAACTATTTTCAATTATTAATTTAAAATAATTTAAATATACATTACCAATTCCTAAAATACATTAATCAGACATTTTTTAAAGCCATTTTTACTTACCGGATTTTTATCAGGATGTAATTTCAATGCCAATTTCTTGAAAGCTTGTCTTATTTCTCTACTGCTTGCCGTTTTAGATACTCCTAGTAAACTGTAAAAATCTTGATCTGTGGCCACTAACATAGCCAGATAGACTACTAAAAAGCAGAGAACGATCTTTTTCAAGTCTCTAACATAGTTAACTTTATTTAACCAGACACTCATTTTTTTTCTCTTTCCTTTACAAGTTCTGACTTAAGTGAATATTAAGACACACTGCTGGTTCCAGTTGACACAGTACACAAGTTGGGGAATTTATGGTCACACACTCCAAAGGTGAATGAATCAAACATCACAAAATTGTCTTCAAAAACGTAAATCTAAAGAAAGGAAATCAGACAGTTAAAATACATTTCAAACAAGAAAAGTACTAACACACTTTGTTTGTCAAATCAAATGGTGAGTAGTAACATTGTCTGACAACATTAAAAGCACATCAGGGCAAGTGCTCTAGCTGCTCTGCTTCCAGGCTAGATTCGTGAAAGCATTCAACATAGGACCAAAGGGTAATGAAGTGATAGCTAGCTGAAACAATAAAAATAAAAACAAAACTATCATCAGAAAAAGCCCCTAATCAGCATCAGAACACAAGGGGAGAACTGACTGTCTAAATTTAAATGTGACATGAAGACTCCCTTCTCCCTACACATGTATGCATGTCTATTACTCCTGCTTTGTTTTGGTTTTTGTTTCCTTCCTTTTTCTACTCATCTTAAGTGTTGTTTTCATTTCCTTTTTAACTATTTCTTTATCTTTTTAAGGCTGTTCAGTTTTCATTAAGTTTTACCAATAAGAAATGTCCTACGGGGACATTAGAACGAAGAACAAGATCTAAGAATTTTCCAAAGGGTCTGCACTTTCCAGGTACTCCCTTCAAAAAGGACACTGACTTACAAGGCAATAATAGGCAACTCACATAGAAGGCCATTCTCAGAGTGGGTACAGACCATCTTAAAACAGTAATAGTTGTATGATAACAGAATTATCTAATATTTATGTAAAGTATTAACAGTAGCAGAAAAATGAAGGAGTTAATACATGCTCACATGAATAGTGAAGAGAATCTTCATGTCACATGTCAACTTAGACACTTTCGTTCTAAAGATTTTAATGACTTTACAAAAGATAAAAATCTAGCCTTCTCAGTGTCCTCAGTTTCTCTTCTGATAGAGTGCAACTTTAGTCCTAATTATTTCATCCTAACACCTCCTTCTGAGCCTCCCAAAAGTTACCTTTGAAAAATTACTGACCACTATCACTACTGTCCAGTGGGGTTCAACTCACAGCTGACCCTCCATCAGTTTCTGCGGCTGTAAATAAATCGTTCATGGGAGGAGTTCATCTTTTTCCTTTAGCGCCACTGGTAGGTTCGAACTACTGGAGACTTTGAGTTAGTGCAACTCGCTACCGACTACACAAGAGCTTAGGGATAGAACAATGTTGTTGTAGTTGTTGAGTATCATTGAGTCGAACCGACATATAGCTGACCCTCTAGAGGGTTTTCAGAGGCCGTTAATCACATGGGAGGAGATTGCCCATCCTTCTCCGGCTGAGCAGCCCGGTGGATGAGAACTGCATTCTTCAGGATTGCAGTGCAGTTTCCTACCACTAGGCCACCAATGCTCCCTGAGACACTGTTAGTAGACTGACACAGATGAATAAATAGTGAGATTTTAAAATACTTTAAATAACTGAATAATACCTTAAAAACCGTAATGTTTTCTGTCACCACTTTGAACTAGCCAGTGATCCTTGCCTAGGGATAGCTCTTAGTGTGGGTGTGGCTGGATAGCCAGAAGTGCAGGACAGGTGGAAACTGCAGGTAAATGCAATGCAAGTGCCTCCAAGCGCTCCAGGATGGGATGCCTTTCCGGAGGAGAAGGAAAGGATGGAGATGAGGAATGAAACTTTCAAGTGTTACTTGTCTGCGGTCTCAGGTCGGGTTAAGGAAGAAGTGACCTGAAAAACCGACGTGAAAGTGAGAAACTGGCAAAGAGCGAGGTGGTGCAGTCCATCTGAAGAAGATGGGAAGAGCGAATAGACTAAAGGGGCTGCGGGAGGTAAGCGGAGAGGTGGGCAGCATCTATCTCGCCCCTCCCTTGCAGGCGGGCCCAGGACGCCCGGACTCCCGCAGAGCGCCGGTCCCCCGCCCAAGCCCACCTCGGTGTAGCGGGGGTCTTCGGAGCTACTCCCCCATGCTGGGTCCCCCGCGGTGGGCCCAGCGCGGACGAGCCCAGGCGCTGGCTGCGCTCTCACACGGCCGGCCGCCGCGTTCGGGACGCCGCCGCGCTCGGGACGTGGGAGGACGAGCCGCACAGGCAGCGCAGCGGCCAGCGCACGCCGAGGTCCCGTCGGCTCCTCCGGCGCCGGTCGGCACGGCGGGGACGGGGCGGGGCCTGGCGCGGGGCATTGTGGGACAGGCGTGGAGGAAGCGGGTTGGGAGGACGCGTGCCGGGCCTGGTGGGCGCGGTGGCGGCGGTGGCGGCAGCGGCGGCGGCGCCGAGGTCATTGTAGGGTTAGGTTGACGTGGCCAGCTGTGCCGGATCCGGTTCTGGCTCCGGGTGCAACCCGGACCTTAAGGACACACTTGACTGCTCAACTCACGCCCCAGCACCTTCCCTCCCCAAGCTGTAGGAGGGGCAGAGTTGAAAATCCCACCTCTTCCTGGTGCTGTTACTATGGTGACAGGGAAACCTGGAGGACTGGTTTTGGTGTGCCCCAGTGACACTGTTCTGAAAGTGAAGAGGGGTTATGGAAGACTATTGGTGGGTGAAACAGAAAGGGACATAATGCAGAAAAGAGAAAGCTGATCGGAAGTAACATAGGCTTGCCAGCCTAAAAGAATCTAGAGGCAATAGGAACTTTCAGGAAAATGAAAGTCCTTCCTTACTAGTGTATCAGCAGATTTTGGTGGTGTTGTGCTTAAAACTCTCCTCTGCTAAGGAGATTTGCAGCCTGCCAGCCACTCTTCTGCAGAAAGATGTGGCAGTCGGCCTCTGTAAATATTTACAGCCTAGGAAACTCTAAGGGATTTCTACATTGTGCTACCGGGTTACTGCGACTTGAGATCCTCTCCGTAGGAAGCAGGCAATGGGTTTGGTTTTGGATGGATGCATCAACAAAAAATCCACAGTACAAAACAAGAAAAGAAAAAAATACAGAAAATGAAAGCCATTTTAAAAAAATTTCATTTAAAAAGCCCCTCAGGAATCCAGTGAATTTCCAGAGCATACTTTGCTGCCACAGTAACTCTGGTGGAAAGATGTAGCAATTGGCTTTCTTAAAGAGTAGGGTATTTATCCGTAGGATTCTACTCAATGTTCGATTTTCCTTTGGTGGTTGTTTTTTTTTTTTGATGATATGTACAATAAAACCACTATATCTTGATTTTTAATAACACTACTCAAGTTTTTAAGCAGGTGTAAAAATAGTGCCCATTATAATTATTCCAGAAATAAAATATTTTAAGACAATGACAATCATCTGGATGTGGAATTTTCTCCATGAGGGATTCACCACTTTATGTAATCTCACCAGCCTGAAACATGATTCTGTGTCAACTGTGGTGAAGCCCCACTGTCAACTTGTCGGAATCCTGGAACATGGGCTGCGGTCCTGGGAGGGAGGGGCAGGCTTCACGAGCACGTGCTGGATTTTCCTTTGGTGTTTTATGAAAGCATTTATTGACGTCCTTGTGTATTTCCTGACTTCACTGCCATCCAAATTAGATACTGAGGAATTACCCAAACTCCTCTTGTATTCTACCTCAGCCCTTTGAAACTACTTGGTTGATCACGTCTCAGATCATATCATGGGAATAATTACATTGTTGTTGTTATGTGCCGTCGAGTGGCTTGCGACTCACAGCGACCCTATATACAACAGCCCTAAACCCTGCTCTATCCTGTGCCAATTGCTCTGCCTCTGACAGACCCATCCCGATTACCCCAGTCACTGAATCAATCCACCTCATAGAGGGTCTTCCCCTCTTGTGCTGTCCCTCCACCCTCCTAAGCATGATGTCCCTCTCCAAGGTCCTGTCCCTCCTTACAACACGTCCAAAGTATGTCAGGCGAAGCCTCAGAATCCTTGCCTCCAAGGAGCAGACTTTAATCCTCTCAAAGAGAATGTGTTTGTTTTCTTGGCAGTCCATGGTATATTCAATACTCTTCTCCAGCACCACAGCTCAAAGGCATCAATTCAATTCCTTCTATCCTCCCTAGTCATTGTCTAACTCTCTGATTCATAACAAGTGATTGCAAAGACCATAGCCTGTATCAAACGCACCTTAGTCTCCAGATTACATTGTGCCATCCATCATTTCTTGTGATTCTCACAGTGAAAAGCCTTTACGTAGTCAATAAAACACATCTTTCTGGTATTACCAACTTTAACCAAAACCCATTTGGCACCAGCTATGATATCCCTTATTCCATGGTCTCTTTTTTTCCCCCATGGTCTCTTTTTGAATCCAGCTTGAGTTTATAGCATACCTTGTAGATGTGCTGTTCCAGTAGTTTCTGATTAATAATATTGTTTAATAATTTCCATATTCTCATTTCTCATTTTCTGGAATAAGAAAACTGTGGGTCTCTTCCAGTTGGTCAGGTAGCTATCTTACAAATTTGTTGGCATTGATTGGTGAGCACATCTGGGCTGCTTCTGTTTCCAGAAACAGTTCAACTGGTATTCCAGCAGTTCCTAGGATCCTAGTTGTTTCCAATGCCTTCACTGCAGCTTGAACTTTTTTCTGTATGTTGCCACTCCTCATAGGATTCAGTGTTGACCAATTATTGTTGATATAGTGACTGTGTATTCTTTTCATTTTGAAAAGATATCAAATATATCAAAAGATATCAAAATATTCTTTTGATGCTTTTTGCATCATTCAGTATTGTGTTCACGGGATTCTTCAGCATTGCAATTTGAGGCTTGAATTTCTTCTTTGGTTCTTTCAGTTTAAGGAATGGTGAGCATGTTCTTGCTTTTTAGTTTTCCAGTTCCTGCTCTCTGCACATTTTGTTGTAATACTTTGTCTTCTCAAGCTATCCTTTTGACCTCTTTTATCAATATCCCTTCACCATTTCTTCTCTTTGTTTTGATCTCTCTAGATCTATCTGACATCCATTCTGATCTCTTCCTTCTCCTTTGATTTTGTAATTACT